TAGTAAAAGGTCGGATAATGTTGTGTCTTAGTTACAATTAATACGTGTGCTTATATCTTTGTCCTAAAAACACGCTGAAGAGCCTACGCTACATGAAGTAGATAATAACTGATTAACAGAACAGTATTCCGTCCAAGTTTTCAGGCAAAGAATTCTCATTCTCTGTTTGCTTGCAGTTCATTTTCTTCTCATGATTATAACGTATATTTTAAATATGTCTAATGGTGTTAAAACACTTGAAGACGGTAATTGCTAGAGAGAACTCAGAAATGCGATAATTACTTTGTACAATTTCTCGGAATGAAAAATTGTTTTAGAAAAACTCGATGTACAATAGAAATGCAGATAAACACGCCTAAGAGCAACTTGTTTATTTTCTAGACTGCATTTTTTTATAAAGTATGATGTAGTTTGAAAGAAATTCTTTTCTTATGGATGATGAAGATAAAATAGATGCTAATTCTTTGCCACATTTTGTTTACGAAACAAAACCAGCAAAGAATCCGTTGTTTCATTTTTGTTTTAAGAATATTCTGTAAGCCAACGAAGACGGCGTAGAAAATTATAATTTTCTATGGCGAAATGGAAATCTTAGTGATTACGCAAACAGAAGGCGGTCGCGTTCCGCCTTCGCGTTCTACGTTGTAATGCATTTCGACTGAAGTCGGGACACACAGAAATCACTCTGACAGCGTCGGTCCATAAAGAAATTGAGTAGAAAGAAATGAACGCATGACCGGCTCTTGTCTGCGGAATCCTCTGAATAATGTCCCCAGGCGCTCACAGCGTTTCCATTATCTTGTTTCCATAAATTGAAACATCGATTGTCGGATTAAGAGATCGGTCAATATTTCGTGGCATGTAATGCAAATAGCTTTTGGGGAGCAGTACTTGAAATAAAATGAGCAAAGGGTACCCGCAAAGGGTTACACTCGTCGGTACAAAGTAATGGGGCATATTGCTTTCTTGATTGTTTAAACCCTTTCCCCTTCACATTATTTGTCTGGTATATTTGACTGCGTTAGGCTTAATAGAAAATTTGTTTCCTCAACGTCATATTACAACTCTAATTAGTTTGTTTTTGCTGTTTGCCTTGCGTTATATATAGAGAGATGTTATGATTTGAGTCAATCCAAATGCGCAACAAAACGTTCCCTTCACACACAATCAGCATACACACAACACATTATGCTCCATTAGAAACATTTCAAATTCCTTTTTTTCTTTATTTACCGTAGCATTATGATAATACATAGAACTGAGGCATTTAAGGGTGATACTCGGCGTCAAATTACTGGAATAATATTCCATCTATACGCAATGAGGTTTATAAACAAATTCATATCGTTTTACGGACTTTACCTTCACTTGCTACAATAATCAGTTTAGTTTGTTGTGCGTAATTGATTTCATACCACTCTGTACTACTTATCTTTGGATTTTCTAGAATATTTTCTAAAATTTTAGAAAATAATATATTTACAATCACATTTGGGGCGCATTTATTCGACACGAATTTCATCGCGCTCACGCGTGGCGACATAAGTCATGGCAAAATAAGCACTATTTGTTTAGCTTTTACGTTTTAACTTAAATGAGTGTCTCGGGCGCGTGGGCAAGGCTGACTTGTCGTTGGTCTATTCCGACGAATTTAAATGTTGTTGCCTAGTAAATAGAATTGAGATTCGTCATTAATGTACGTGAAAGCGCGGCAAATTAGCGGGTGCCGCGCGGCGGCCGCGCGAACACTTTCGCGTCGTGTAACTGGGCACTTACACTTATAGCTAGACTTTATATTCACACTCGCACACGCATTGAAGACCCTTTTCAGCGCCCTATGAGCTGACATCCTTTCGAGATGGTGTCAGCAGAGTTTGGCGGACTTGATATCTCCGATAATATTAGGCTCAGACTCGATGTCCTCTGGTTCCTTATAAATTGTACTAGATTCATTGTTGGTCATGACCGAAAAGCAGCGCTTTAGGGTACTTACGCATAAGCCGAGTCAGTGCTTTTACACTGTTAATAAAATTGTATGTTTTTACTTATGTATTCAATGATACCGGTGCCATTCTGGTGAATAAAGTCTATTTGTCTGTATAAATAAGTTCTCCAACATTTTATTACAAAACTATTAAAGAGCTATTATCGGTTTCTGCTTAGTTTAGAAACCAGTCTTTTAAATCAGAAAGATCTCACGGACACAGCGCCCGTCACTCTGAGACATAAGTTAACAAGTACCATGTGCCTGTAATTTCACCAGCAGCCTTAAAACCATAGCGCAGTAACGCTCATATTTCTGCTTGGCGGCAGAAATAGGTAAGGTCGCTTGCAAACGTAACTTAAAAATATTTTGTTACATATGTATTACTTTGGTTCTTAAATAACCGTTACATAATTGTTTGGTTCATATATATAAATATTATTATTTAGCACGAAAGCAATTTGTTTTGACTTTCATAGTTTATGGTACGTAAATGATTCATAAATATTTAACTCGAGTTTTATATTGCAATTGTGCTTAATGCGCTTATTAATATATTAATAATTTGTGCTTGTGGTGAAGAATCCGAAGTAAAGTATTTTGAAATTTGAATTTTAATTTTAATGTTTTATAACAATATGAAAAAATGGCGGCTTGTGTTTCATTTATTTTTAATAATCATTTTTGTACACTTAAGAAGAAGTAATTTTAGAAGTAGTAATTTTAATGATTAGAGACCACATTGTTTTTAGCCGACTTCAAAAAGGAGGAGGTTCTCAATTCGACTGTATTTTTTTTGTATGTACGTTACCGATTTTCATGATTCTTTTTGGGAATAGGGCACCTCAGTATTGGTCCCATTTAAATTTGAAGAAAATATTCCACATGTATGGGTAGCAAACTAGGGTATGAATCCGGTTTCGCGCACTTTCCGATAACCGATTTCAATAAAACTTAGCAAATAGATGTAATTTCACGAACTTTTAAGGTCGGTTTTTTTAGTACTCTGTACTAAGACTATCTACACATACGACGTTAAAGTGTAGAAGTAGTAATTTTAATGATTAGTTTCCACCCTATTTTTTATGCAGGGACCGTGCAGCCCTTCGTCATTGCTCCCAGCAAGTAGTTGCTCACAGGTGCAAAAGAGACTGATGTTTGCACAAGAGACCGAGTGTCGAACATTTGTCAGCGGTGCACAGATGCTAACCGCAGTTTGTTACTCTTGACTAGAAAAATAGAAAGAGTGTACATGTTCCTGAAATATTCTTGTGGATAAAAGCAATCCACTGTAATATATACTTTTAAACTTTCGCGTTGCATTGTACTAACATTTGGAAACGGGAATAAATGCGTTCAAATACGAATAGGTATTTTTCACACTTACCTGATTTCCTGACATGGTCACAAACTGACTGTCAGTCAGCCCACTGATCGGTGCAACTTGGCCGAAACGTCAGGAAACCAGGTAGGCGTGAAAAATACCTATTCGTATTTGAACGCGTTTATTCCCGTTTCCAAATGTTGTACCATACACTATAATACTTTTACAATAGCATTTTTTACTCCGTTTGTTAATTTAGTTCCAGTTGGCGAGATTTTAACGTTCAATTGTATGTACTCTGGCGAAAGCAGATTGTAATTTTCATAGGTTTCTCACAGATGGTGTTACGGCAAAAAAGTCGTTAAAACCAAAAACGAAGATCTGCTACAAGCACACAGATAAATTCGCAAGGCCTGCTAGTTCGTTTCGTAGCTCAGTTGGGATAGCGTCAGCTACGGTAAATTGTGTACGGTAAATAAGAAATTACTAACGAGAGTCTATTAGAAGCTTTAATGACTCGTGGTTTGTAATTTTATACCGCCTGTGCACATTGATCTATGTAGCCCGTCATATATACAATGTTTAATGTTTATAACATTTGCGAGAAAAGAAATACAATGATAATTTATTTCTCCTATGAATAAATATCGCTTCACAACACAACAATTACGGATTTTTCAAATGGCCAACCATTTTTCTACAGATAATACAACTCGAACTAAAATGTCGTACAAGGTAAAAACGCGTACAGCCATTATTTATATTAGATATATAATAAATAATTTCAAAATACTAAATATACTGCAGAATTTGAATTTAAAATTAATTTAGTAAAATATAATAGTTAAATTGTAAATATTTCGTTTTTTTGTGCTTCAAGCTTAGGCTTAATCTAAGGCTTAATTTTGCTTGATCTTGAGGTATAAGAGAAGTACGAGGCCTATGTTCACCAATTGACGTCTTTCGCCTGAAATGATGATGAAGAGAAGTACAATAATTAATATTTTATTTTAATAATAATTAAATTAAAAATTCAGTTCCACCTCGGGGCGATAATGTAATGAAAAAGCCCGTTGGCGTAATTTACGATATTACGGCCGACTTTGCCTGTATGCCATGCATGACACTGTTGTAATGCATTACGAGCAAGTGTGATGAAAAAAATGATTGGGAATGACAGCGATTTACACTTCCCAGTGCTAATCACGCCCAGGTTGTCCAAGCCTTCTCTCTATCACGCTATTGCTGTTTTTCTTGTGTATCTCTGCATATTCACTAACTATTGTTTTTTCTGTGCCATTACTGATTTAATACCGCCGAAGCAAGGGTCCAGTATTTGTTCAGTAGACATAAACATTACATATTAGTCCGTGTGATGGGGTCCCACGTTGAAACATATTGTTATCCCTGCAGTCCGTGTTTTGTTACCCCTGACGAAGGAATTATTTGACCTTCTTCTTGCATTCGGGACACGTCTGCTTTTTGCTAAAATTGTCTTTTGTTTTTAGATCTGCTTCTGTTTTCTTCGTGTATTGAGCGGTTATTTTTGTTCCTTAGCTTACAGCCCCATTTTTAACGTTACGGTATAATATTAATTTAACTCCTTGCGATGACTATGCTTTGGGTAAAACTTTTAATTTTTGTTGAAAAAATAAAAGTAAAAAACTAACAATGTGTTTTTATTAATTTCAGGTAATGCACATGGTCTGAACAAAATTTAAGTTCCGGTATAAAAGAAAATCGTCTTTAGCTTCAACTCTATAGAGGTATACTGTAGGCTTAATACCATCTTTACAAAATGTCGAAGAGATATTTCAGCGTGAAAATAGGCAAGAAAACAGTAATGGTGAAGACTATTAATGGGATAATCAAGGTATAATATTACTGCACATAAATGCATCAATACTTTGAACTTATTTTCTAGAAACTTAACGTCTGATGTTAGTCCATAATCTAGCTACGTTTAATTGCTCAAACAAAACGCCTTGTTGTTTTGTTGAGGCAACTTGCCTCATTTCATTCCCTTGGTACATACTGCTTATTGAGTAACTGTCTCTTTCACTCGTATGAAAAACGGTTTTATTTGGTGTTTCAATTATGTGACTTTCGATCAGCTGAAAAAAGAATTGTAAAATAATACCTAATTAATTACATCAGAGCTATGTAATATCACCCAGAGTACCTAGACCAAAATCAATTTAGAAAGGTTAATTTCTCAAATTGGTTCTACCAGGAATCGAACCCATGACTTCGTCTTCCAGCATCCACAGAGCAAATACTTGGACCACTGAAGCCGTCGACACGTCATCACTGAAAAACTTCAAGAGATTGTCAATGAAGAAATCTATTGCTATCCAAGTTCTGAATGAGAGTGTATAATACTTTGGCTGAACATTGCTAATTGTTCAGCGAAAGTATTGAGTTATCCCGTGTCGCCAGTAACGAGTATAGGCGAGTGTACAAAAACAATATAAAAATATACAAAACGAAAAAGTCACAAATCCTTACAACTAATTTTCAATAACACCTGTTCCAAAATTCGCCAAAATAAATTTTCAAATAAAATATAAACAATTGCACAAACGAACAAAATGACACGTCTCATCCCTAAAGATATCCGCACCTCAAACAGGATTGTAGGGATTAACGGATCCATATCTCTTTGTGTTCTTAGCGAACCCTACGTCAAAAGATAAATTCATATTTTGACAACCGTCTTCTTTGTACTGTTAACTGTAGGTTATATAACTAATATGTTAGGTTTAGGATGTGAAGGTACCCATTGTAATTGTGATGTCATCTATTTGAAAATAATGCTATTAAAATGTAGTTTTAGCTCAGATTCTCTATTTGAATTTTGATGGATACTGTTTTTTGATTTAATAACAATAATAATCTTAATTTTAATCTTACGTAGAGGTATAACAAAGTAAGGAGTACTTATAGAACACACATAGAGAAAAAAGTAATATGTGGACTCAAATATGAGGTTTTGTACATAATAATAAATAATTCTGAAACCTGAGTCCTTGACCCCGGCTTAGTATGCCGTTGCCGGATAATACAGCGTGTGCCCTTTAAAAATTCAAATTTCATCTTTTAAGTCACGGGAGAGGTGAGAATCCAAAATAGGCACCCGAAATAGGTAATAAATAATGTACCAAACAATTGGTCTTATACTACGGAACACCTTGTACTGTGAGTACAGTTTAGTTTTAGTAGCAGTAGAGCTTCTTGTGAGTTCGTTAAGGGAAGTACTGCCACCTTACATTCTTCTGCAGCCAAGCAGTAATGTGACCATTACTACGTTCCGGCTTTAAAACGTAAGGTGTTTGCTCAGTTTTGTGTACTGCAACTGCTGTGGATAGGCGTGTCGCTTACCATCAGGCGCACGACTTGTTCGTTCTCCAGTCACTTGGTACGTATCATAAAAAAAGTGTACCAGAGCAAGAAATTCACCGTTGGGTACTGATGACTGATGATCCACAACATCCAGGCCAAAATTAATTTTATAAACCTGGAACCACTTCACTTAGCGCTCGTTGCGCTTCCGAAGTCTTCGATTGTATACACAATAGCGTTGTGTTCGTACTCGTGGAAACGGTTGCGTTTTGTTAGTTTTTCTATTTTGAAAGTAGAAAACATGGAAACAAGAGAGGTATTATAACTCCGCATATGGACCCATCAAGAGCCACTTTTTGCCCTAGTGTACACCGTTCTTCAGTCAGAGTGGAAGTCGCATTCATAAAAGCTTCAATATTGTTTTATTTTCAACAGGATTAACGATCCCTACGTTTTGGTCACACAATGTTGGTTTAGTAGGATATACGAATAAATCATTTTGGTCTTTCTAAAGACTAAAAAACTTCATAGGTGTGCTACATACAAGTAATGATATTGTGTTATGTTGGAAAAAGAAAAACAAAAGAAAAAACTAAATTACTCATGCCGCTACTCTTTTATGATATCAAGCGGCGAGACGACCAAGTCGTGCACGTGTTGGTAAGCACCCATAACAGTTACTAAGCCACTCAGACCTTTAAACCGCAAAGGTATGATAAGTCCCATGTGCACGTTATTTCACCAGCATCCTTACCTTTCAAAACCGGAACGCAGTAATGCTCACATTGCTGCGGTGGCGGTAAAAATTTAACAAAGCAAAAGTTGATGAAAGTTGAAAACAAATATATGTATTTTATGCACATCCCGAATAAAAAATAAACAACATATTATTATGTACTATTTTTAAATATCAGAAGTGTAATTATTGAAAGCAGTAAAACAACCTTTTCCGAGACACCCTCACTGGCTTTGAAAATATTTGTGCAGGCACTCCCACTGTTGGTGAATTACAGGAGATAAAGTTCAAAGGTAAATTTATTGTTGCATATCACTTCGTTCTGGTGGCGGTGTTAAATACTTGCACTAGTGTACGGTATATTGAATATAAGTAGTAAGTTAGTAGGAATCGTGCGGGTAAATTTGTACGCAAGTGCAATAAGGAATATAACAGTATATTATACTGTTAGGTATATATTTATTATATTATGGTAACAAAGTTTTTGACGAAATATAATTTTTTTACCTTCCAAAATTAATTAATGATAATACCACGAACAACAAAATTAACGTCTTTTGATGTCTCAAGTATTTGTCTAGCTGCTCCTGTCATATACTTATTGTTGTAAATGTTTCGTTAACCAAATTATACTAAGGTAAATTACTTTACTGGCGAACATTTACCATAACAGATGGTGTAATTAATCTGGCTTAGAGTTGTGCAGCGCTAATTCCTCTTTATACCTGTACAAAACGTGAACGGCTCCCCTCCTGATGCAATATAAATTATTGCAGCTAACATCGCATATTTACGTGGTTTCGTGGTTTAAAATTTCAATATTTTAAAAATTTGAAACGGCTGGGTTTTAATGTTTTTTGTTTTATCGCTGTACGTGGAATGTTTGTACCGCGATGTAGTGTATATTTTTAGCTTAGAATAAAATAAATATTTTATTTTTTGATAATAGGACGCATATTCAAACGACATAATATTACTGAAATTATTCTGTCATATTTTAAGTTTTTTTTTTCATTCAAAATGAATAAAATTTTATTAAATTTGACCAACTTCAGCTGTCCTAATTTTTGTCTTCCTGTGCAATGAAAAATGATCCTTATATAAAACTAAGTTTGTTAGCATTAAATAATTAATAAATTTTATGGACAACTCACACTTGACCCACAAAATTACTATTTTCAATTTTTTTTTCACAAACACTGTATTATACTGTAATACATTGCTGTGACCATACTATGGGATCATAGTATGGGAACTGGATGGCATATCCAGTTCCCATTAAAGACGATAGATGACGGAAACGTAGGTATTATACGTTGAAACCTAAATCGTGATGTTGATTTTGCTTCAAATGGTTACTACTACTTGAGAAAAAAAACCTTATTACAGTAGTACAAAGACGTAATGCCTGTAATATAATATACAAATATGCGCAGCACGCACGCAGCACAAACACACACAAATAAACACATGCACTTGAGTTTGGGCTTGCCATGTAATTTCCTAATCTTTAGTTGTGCTCCGCACTGTTTTTACATTTAGAATAGGAAATCAATAATAATAACAAGCTAGTGAAGTATTTTCACAACAAAATTTATGAATATCGTGGCAGTAAAAATACCATGATATTTAATAGAACACTTCACTGTACTTTTTTTAAATTTTCGTGACTCAATCATTACTGGAAATGATGAATCTGCCAACGTCACGGTCGGAAAAAAAAACACAGAGCCTTATTGTGAAATTAACCAGTGTTGACGGGTTGATCCGCTGAAATACTCAAATAATAACAAAAGACAGCAGAAACGCTTTACACAAATTTACAAATATTTTTATATACAGTAAAAATAGGGGGGAAACACTGAAGTTAAAAGGTTATTTTATGTTAGTAGGGCGGGGAAATTTTAGATTTTTTAGACAGCTGCTCAGTTTGCTTTTAATCACTCAACTGTCATCATACACAGAAAAAAGGTTCTCTATCTATGCGGATTATATATTCTTTCAAGCAGATTATGTAGCGGTGGGAAGGCAATAAGTTACAAAAAATTGTGACGCAGTGAATTATTTATTGACTGTCTCGAGACCGAGGTTTTAAGTCACTTATGTCACTGTATATAAGACATATAAGTATCAGTATTTACAAATTCTCAAACGTGTGTTGATGTTTCATTTTTTCATTATTGTCGATTTTTTAAGTAATATGTCGAAAATATTGAGCGAGTTTAAGACTACCCTTATATTTGTTTGTGTGTTCCATAGTGCGCGTAATTGCTTATTTCATTTCAGTTCTATGATAATTCATTCGTAATATAATAAGCTTCTAAATAATAATATCTGAACACAATTATTAACGTTCCTTAATCCTTTACGCATCATAATGTACTCAGAAGAGCTTACATATCATTACACTTTTGTTATATGAATGAATTAAGTGTTATTTTTTTCATGATAAAGTATGCGCGAATTTTTAACCTCCAACTCACGCGGTGAAAAGTGACGATGAGGTCAACGATGGAGCATACACACTTAAATAATAGCTATTCACTCTTGTATCGAAAAGGCCCAAGTTATAGCGTTCAGGGAACATGTCTGCAAGGAATTCCACTCCATAGCCGTTAGCCATATACCTAAACATGGAAAAGTAACGCTTGGTGCGATATTTGGAATACCC